ATTAAGTTTTCAAGACATCCCCACATGTCAAGTATCCCACGGTGAGTCCCAGGGAGATCACAAAATGAAACAACCCCTGAGTAGATTATTCTGCCCTTAATACTCAGTAATCATGAGTTACCTAATGATGGGCTGAGTTGTATTGCACTGTGTCACCACAGCTTATGAACCCTTTGTCACTTTAACACAGCTTTTGTTTAGTGTGGTTTATGTTGATATAAAATAGAACTGAAAACGCTGAGAAAAACATTTCACATCACCAACACTTTCTGATCCATGCAGAAGTTCTGGACAACCCTCTGAAAAACATAATACAAGAAAACATTTGTCCTTCCCAGGAATAGTTGAGGAAATAAAACATCTGATCTTCTGTTGTGAGCAAAAGCTTTGTTTTTATAATCAATTATTAGGACAGAACAAATGAGGTTATGCAACTTTGCACCTGTGCTGTTATCTGTGGAGTTTAATGACTGGTGAGCACACTATTTGTGATTAACATAGTGTTAGGTTATGATTCTCTGGAAACCATTCTGAGGCTGGATACAATCTGCATTATCAATTGTAACAATTCACCCATTGTTAAAATATTGTGCTTGGGCTAGGGCAGGTTAGCTCTGTCAGATCATAGATTTGGATGGTTGGAACTGGGCCAGCGTGGTCCAGCTGACTGTTTGGCCCAGTTGCTGGGTGCCCCAGTGTTATGGATAAATTTAACCAGTGTCTTTGCACATCTGCCTTCAAAAGATGCCCTGCAGGGACTGAACTACTTGACAAGCAAGCTTCTCTGAAGGCCATAGAAACCAAACACTAAATGTTTCGAATGGCTTAGATGGGTGCGACCGTGAAGGTATGAATGACATACTATACTATGAAGCTTTGACCTCAGAGGCTCGTTTATTCAAAAAATGTTTTACTAACTATTGCGTACTGAACCTGCCACAGGCAAAACAAATCAGCTGGGGAGAACTCTGGTGTGACTTTGAACAACAACAGCCACTACAACCACCTCCTCCTGGCAAGTTTGCTGCTAATACTGAATGGGTGGTTACGTTCATTAAAGAAAAAGTTGTGATTGTGATTATGTTTCCTACAAAACAAAGGTTCAGTAGCAGTTAGCAGTTTAGTTTTATATAAACTAGTAATTTAGGAGGCAGGGTTACCAAACCCACTGTAGTGGTTAGTGCAGTCACCTCACAGCAAGAAGGTTCCAGGTTTGAGCCTGGGCCGACCCGGGGCCTTTCGGTGCAGAGTTGGCATGTTCTCCTTGTGCCTGCATCGGCTATCTCCGGGTACTCTGGCTTCCTTCCACGGTCCAAAGACATGCAGCTTAGGCTGATTGGTGACTAAATTGCAAGACAGCAATATATATATATATATATACAGTATATATACGTATATATATAAATATATGTGTGTGTGTTTGTGTGTGTGTATGTGTGTGTGTGTGTGTGTGTGTGTGTGTGTGTGTCTGTGTGTATTTCAAATGCAAGTCCATTGTTCTGTAGCCTAACCTAAAAAAAGACAGGCTTCTTCAGAAAGCAATAGTTGTTGTTGTTATTGTGGCATGCTTTGCTTTTAGCATTGGAAAATCAACACACCTGCACCAGGCATCCTGAATGTTTAATACTCTTACTTTCTGCCAGTTTCCATCCTCCGCCTGTCAGTCATCTCCACCCCAAGGGCACCAGAGGAAGTGTTAGACCTGCTAGTTGAGCTGAGAGTACAGCTTTTATTTTATGGGTTGCTAACACTTGTCAGGCATGTACTTTTTACAATATGTCAAGTCAGGACAAATTCAAGACACATCCTGAATGAGACAGTTTGATGTGTTGTATTGTCCCTGGTGCAGTTTTAGTGTTTTAACAATTACATCTGACAGTTTACACAACTAAATCACAGCACCCTGGAGAGGCATCAGACACTAATGGTTTTTACTAGAAAGTCATCCTCTTTCCATATTGGCATTTAGTCTAAGTGTCATAACCATCAATTCAGGATAGATTTTACATATGTTACTTTGTTGTTCTTCTTCTTCTTCCACTTTTGGCTGCTCCCGTCAGGGGTCGCCACAGCGAATCATTAGTTGCCACCCAACTGACAATGCGCATGCTAAACATGACATGTTTTATGCCGGATGCCCTTCTGGATGAAGTCTAATTTAGAGTTGCCAATCAACCTAACCTGCATGTCTTTGGACTGTGGGAGGAAGCCAGAGCACCCGGCGAGAACCCACGCAGGTACAGGGAGAACATGCACATGTGTTACTTTGTTAATGCGCACAAAATGAAAAGTTAAGTTAAATACCTGGCAGGCATGCCAAAGGATGATAAACTGGCTATAAGGAGTTTCTGTAATCATAAACTGTTAGTGCAATGTTGGCTGGGTGTGTTAGTAATATAACCAAAGCTGATACATGAAAAGCTGTTGCATAGAAAATCTGAAGCACAGTTAAAAGAAAGTTGAAGATGACTGACGGCAAAATGACTGAAAAATTATGGAAAACTTAACTCAGAGGTTCAGGGCAAGTGCAGTGTTGCAGCAGTTCCCTGCAGGTAGCTGGAAAGAGCCAGGGCGGGAGGTTGTTCACTCAAACTTCCCTACTCACTGAGTTGTCACTGCATTTACTCTGCAGACAGCCCTCAGGAATTCTAACACACTGTTGTACACAGAGGTGCATTGTGTTGATTGCATGACGGGGGGGGTTGGGAGGCTGTATTACCATGATTGACATGGTAATACAGACATCCTCGCCCCCATACCTTCATTTGTCAGACTTATATTTGACACAAGTCTGACAACAGTTTAGTCATAGGTGTAGGTGTGGCAAGGGCACACCTTAAACATGACATCAAGATGGGCCTGTGCCTGGTTTGCAACTCACTGGCTTGCAGCATAGTCATTGTTACCTGCTACAACAAGAACAGTGCACAATAGATCAGCTGTCTACTGCAGGAGCCGGTGTGATCCTGGTCTCATCTGCAGAGTAGTATTATGTATTTGTACTGAACAAATGTAACAAATGTAACCATATAATGCAATTATGCAAAAACTATCACAACTATGCATTTTATAACTTTGACCAATAATATTACACTAGCAATATAGGCACTCTTTTCTGTAGCTCACAGTTTGAATGAGGTTGACCCTCTTGCACAAAAGGAGTCAGAACAGAGTAAGTTTTTCTTTCACCTGTTCTTTTTATGTATAATTTTACCAGCTCTTTATTTTAGTATTGTAGTTTAAGTGCAGTACTTTCATCTTACAGCTGTAGTATTTTTACAGACAGAAAACACAACTTCATAAAATATGATGTGTCGTAAATGTCACAAATATGTGTTGCTGCAGCATTTACAAGATTAAAGTGATGCTGACACAATAGTATATAAATAATAATGTTAGGCAATTTGTCAGGATGATTAATACAGCTTTTGAGGACTTAGTACAGTTTGTGAGCATTACTTCCTTAAAGCAAGTTAGATATTTTGGGAAATACACTTAGCTTTCTGCTTTCTGGTGGAGAGTTAGATGAGGAGACTGACACCACTCTTGCACCTGTTAAATGTAAAACTAGCTCACATGTCATTTTTACACTTTGTTTTAGATAAAACAAACAAGACATAAAGTCCTATTACTGAGCTTCAGAGATACTGGTACTCCAGGCTAACTGTTTCCACTCTTTGTGCTAAGCTAACTGTCTTATAGCCTTATAGATAAACATGAAAGTGTTAGCTGTCTTCTTTATCATCTAGCTTTCCACCATACTGAATGCTATTCCTGTACTTGAGTGAAAAATAAAATGCAAACTTCTTTTACCAGTATGCAATAGTTCTTATAAGGAAGTAACAGAAGTCTTTCTTTCGGCTCAGATGCAAATACATTTCTTTAATTCCATAAATCACCACAGCTTTCCCACTCATACCAAGCAAAAATATGAAGCACGATAAGGGTTATTTCATGTCTGCTGTTACTGCAAACATATTTGCACATGCTCACTCTGCAATCTAATTTCTTTCATGGTGTTAAATGCTCATGTCTTCAGAGTTTGAAAGCATCATTTGTTGAAGTACACCAGCACTCAGAGATCTGGACTGGTGGGATATGGGCAGCTTTTCTGTCTTTAACTTCAGGAGAGCTTTTATATCCTCAGGTGCAGCACCACCACACATAATTCATGTTCTGATCCCATTCCTAAGGCCTCATAACTAATCATGTAGCATATGAGAAATTGCCATGTTTCTATATATCATGTGTTACTTCAGTATACTTACAGACTCTAATTAGCTTTTGCTGTATTGGCTGTAGTTATTATTGAATGTTTTGTATATGTGTTGTGTAAATTTTAAATAAGTCCATATGTTTTTTTGTTTTTTTTTTTACAGTATGTGATTAAAGGTGTTGGGAGTATGACATATGCTGAAATTTTGTAGGAGTGCATCATACAGTAACCTTCACTACATTTAGCAACTTCTGAATTAGTGTGTACCTGGACCGAGGCAGGCTGGGACCCGCCAGGGGTTTCACAGCAAAAGCTTCTGCCAGGGAGGTTTTCTTTGTTAGACTGTTAAAAGTATGACTTGCTTTTGTGCATGTGCATTAGTGTGTTGACATATCAGATTAACTACATAGCAAGTCCTTTCAGGGTGATCACAAATGTATCTTTTATAGTAATCTGTTTCTCCAAAAGTGATGAGTTGGTATTAAGTGCTCAGTTAAATGTTACATTTACTGTCTTAGTGCAGACACTTACTGTACAATACTCGACAATAAAACACCATGTAAATTACAGCTTGAAGAGTTTTTTTTGTTTGTTTGTTTTTGACCAAACAGCTCTCCGGGTGTTGCCAGCAGCAGCACACCAAAAAAAAAAAAAAAACATTTTTGTGACTGATTTTCTTTAACTGTTTAGGTACAGCAGGTTTGGCATAAAGATGCTGGCATCGTAGTGGATTATTGTTCCTCCCAAGTAACTCCATTTTTTTAAAGTTTTTACATTGAAAGTTGTACTGATATTACAGCAGTGCTTTTTGCTGGCCCGGGACAAGATTGAACAGCAGTGGAAAACACAGAAAACAGTGTCATCTGCTGGCTGAGCAGGTGTTGTGCAGTGATCACTGGCGTTGGCAGTGACCTGACTACATCATACACTAAAGAACTTAGTAATTTACAAGAAAGCCTGAACATAGACTCGATCATTAGCACGTCTACACATTAGCGTCTCTTCATTATAAAGAAAGTTGTGTTGTTGGCTCTTAACAGTAGAAACCATTATCAGTATAAAATGATTATTGGGTGAAGGCACTTTGGATAATGAATCATTAAAGAACTGGACAACAAAACAGAGTAGGTGTGTTTTTTTCTCAACACCCGAAAACATAAATCATGAATCTAAAAAGATCACTCCTCAGCCACAGCTTCAGTCTTCACTGGCTCCTTCTTCTCCACAGCAGCTGGCCCCTCAACTTCTACATGTTCCTCCTCCTTTATCTCTACCTCCTCCTCTTCTTTCTTCCCTTCTCTCTTGATCACCACAGTCTCTGTCTTGGTTACTGTGCTGCTCTTCGCGGCTGCTCCCTCAAGGTCAGTGACAAGATCTCTGCTAGCTTCGTCTCCTCCAAAGGAGCCAGCGATGTAGGACGGGGTGCGGGAGCTCTCCAGACTGTAGGTGTTGTAATTCACAGCTGCAGATTCAGAAATAAAGGATAAAGATTAGCATCAGTTAGCATTAGCAAACTGTAGTGTAGCACTTCAGGACCATGTCCCAGGCCAAGCCAACAGTTTCTAGTTCCTCTTTCTCACGAGTTCATAATGTTGCAAAAGTCAAGATTTAAACACTTTAAACATTCACCAATATAGGGCATGAACTTACAAGTCCGCTTGAATATATTGGTCTTGATTCCAGTTGCTAACCTGTAGAAAGAAACATAAAAGAAAACAATGTAGTACACTAACTGATATTTCTATAAAAGATGCTGTTCTTATCACTTCCACAAGGTGCTCCCACACTCACATCTTACCTGTCCTCCTCTCCTTCCAGCAGTTTCCTGTAGGTGGCAATCTCAATGTCCAGCGCGAGCTTCACATTCATCAGCTCCTGGTACTGGCGGACTTGAAGGGCCATGTCCTGTTTGGCCCTTTGAAGAGCTTCCTTCAGGTCTCTGATGCGTAGTTTAGCATCCTTTACTGCCAGTTCACCACGTTCCTCAGTCTCTTTCATCTGACCTTCCAGATTGTTTCTCTTAAAGTAGGTAAAGACAAACAGAGTGAATTTACAAATTAAGCAGTCTAGGTACAACCAACAAGACATATTCCCGAATATTAAGGAATAAAGACATGAAAAACAAAATCTTATTAGTACCAAAAAAGGTCTAAATATGCAAAAATCTGTTATCCTCACCTGTGCTTTCACCATGTCAATTTCAGACTGGAGCCTCATTATCCTGCGGTTTATGTCAGCAATCTGGGCTTTGGTTGACTTCAGGTCATCACTGTATCTACCTGCTGAGTGCTGCATCTCTGCATCCTGACACACACAGAGATAAGTCGAGCTGACACCACTGAAGCACAAAGTGACAATCTGGGTGTCTTTCAGTTGTCTTGAGAGTCTGGTGTCTTTCCAGAGGTTGCTGTTGTTAGTCTTTAACCTCTTTTTGGGCATGTTTTAATTCAGCATGGACACAACAGAAGTCAATTGCAGATTTTAAACTACAATGATGAGCAAACACCAAAATCAGTGTGTTTAGTTTCTATAACATCATGTGTGTACTAGGGAATGTAGGTAAGGAACAGTAAAGGTTGGGTAAAATGAGCAGAGGAAGAATAAGTTGAGACAAAATAGTAAAAGACACGAGAAAAAGTTGAAGACATCCTGCATTATCCACCACCCTCATCTAGCATGCTTTGGTAGTAGACTTCAACTTCCAATTACACAGTAATAAGAGTGGTCTCACCTTAGTCTGGTACCATGACTCAGCTTCAGCTTTGCTGCGGTTGGCAATGTCTTCATACTGGGTACGGACCTCAGTGACAATGGCGTCCATGTCGAGATTACGACTGTTGTCCATCTCCACCACAGCAGATGTGTCCTTCATTTGGCTCTGCAGATCATGGATTTCCTACATAGGAAAACATGAACAGAGGATTAGCAGACATGGGAAAACATCATTTTGAAGATGTTTTTCTTAAAGATGACCCCAGGCTAAATCATTTATTCATTATTGTGTTGCTGTAAAGCAAAGTAAAGTTCTTACTGCATCATAGATAATCTTCAGGAACTCAATCTCATCAGAGAGCCCATCAAGTCTGGCCTCCAGCTCCACTTTGGTCTTGAAGGCTGCATCTATGTCCTGCGAGAAAGAAGACGGTACTGAAAATATCCATTGTTGCACATAGCCCCGGCCCTCACAGCCACTGTGTGGCCTCGTCGTGTTCGAAGACTAATGACAGTTTTAAGATCAAGAACATGACAGAAAATCTACACAGACCTGCTTTAGGAGGGCAAAATTGTTCTCACACTCCTGTCGCTTGTTGAGCTCATCATCATACCTGGAACATAGAGTTAAGACTTGTCAGTGTGTCCTTAAAATAAAAACTCCATCTCACCCATACACCAGACATTAAGAGCAAGCCCACAGACAGCACCATTAATGTTGCATATAATTCTCTATGTAGATTTGTTTTGAGGTGTTTATATAGAAAACGTCATTGTTTTAGGTATGAATCATTTAACTGTTTGCGATTTCATGGGATTCATTTTGTTTTCTAATGTGTTTATTTTAATTGTCCTTCTTAGTCAGTGCAGTTTCTGGTCCCATATGGCTCTTCATAGCCACTCAGACATGTACAATATCCACTTTTCTTTGTCCTTGGAATTTTCAAATTTCAGTACAAAGCTCCTTTTGACTGGAATGATCTTGTTTTTCTGAGAACACTTACCTCTCACCACTTTATTTTCTTATGTTAAAACAACCTGTTCATGCTTTTAATTTGTGCATACTTTAACGTATTAAATGGTGTTTGTAATTAAATTACTTTGTACAATAGCTTAGGTCAAGGGACTTGGGTGGGAGTGAGTGATAGAGCTGTCTGTATTTGTATATTTGTAGTGTACGTTTTTTAATGTTGTTTTGTTTATATGTATTTATATCCTTGGGACCCCCTCGAAAATGAGACGTTACATCTTAAGGGCTCCTTTCAATACATTTAAGTTTCAATTCATTAAGGCATTAGATTGATTTAAAGAGTAATTACCCATATTTGGTACTTTTTGAAACTTTGGCCTCGGTAGAAGTTCAGATAATGTTTTGTGGATCTGGACATTACCTGGCTTGTTTTTAAAAATAGAACCATAAGCAGTTACCTTTAAGATAAAAAGTCTGGCTCCACTCACATGGTTTTGAAGTCCTCGACCAGGCCCGTAATGCTATGCAGGTCAGATTCCAGTCTGGCCTTCTCATGACCCAGGGTGTCCAGCTGCTTATGCAGGTTAGCAGTGTAGGCTTCAAACATGGAGTCGATGTTGGAGCGGGATGGGATCTTTTTCTGTACCAGTTTCCACTTGGTCTCAAGCATTTTGTTCTGCTGTTCTAGAAAGCGTACCTGCAGAAACAAGATACAAAACTGTGCAGTGAGGAGAGGACATGCTTACAGAGACATAGTCAGTTGTATGCAAAGAGGTCAGATGAGTGAGTGGCTTCACTTTGTTGATGGACATCAACTGAAAGAAAAATGACTAATTGAACTTCCCACCTCCAGCAACCTCTAAATGTCACATCAGTTACTCTCTATTCTAACTCACAGATTTCAACACAAAGGGGCACTGTTTCCCAATCGGGACACAGTTTGGCCCTGTAAAACTTCTCTGTTCTACACCCTGACCCTGGGTGGGGTCCTGCTGGTAAGTACAGTGACAGATAACTAAAGAATCTAGTCAATCTCAGGTGGAGAATAGTGCAAGCATCTGTCTCCTGACTGACAAATAAGTAATCTCTGTTTGATAGTGGGTGACTGATTTACAGGAGTGGATTCCTTTCTTGCCTATTACACCAAGTGGGTGTTGTTTAGAGTCTCTGCTACATATTTATACTAACTACTTCCCTCTGTGTTTAACACGCTGGTCTCAGGCAAACCCTTCCCCTGCCACTCCCACTCTTTTTCTGCTGGGTTTGTGTTACCGAGTGTTTGTACAAGCATTGAATATTCAGACAATAAAATGTGAAAATAATATAATAGGTAAGTTTTTGAAAACCAAATATCTGAACAGAACAGTGCAGGAAAACACCTGGCACTTTGACTCTTGCAGGATATGGCTCTCCATGGATGTACTTCTTGAAGCAAAATGTCTCTGCTCTTTATCTCAGCCTTGTATGTATCCAGGTTGATCCTCTCAGCTGGGATCTGTGATTTCATCATTTTAGCAAGTTAACCCTCAACTCAGAACAGACTCACTGAGCCCAACTTTTAGCAGACATTGCTATTTATACAGTTTTCACAGGGATTGTATTGTGAACTCAGACCTTTTCACCTTGAGCTAATTTGATTTGCAGTACATTCATTTCCTCTGAGGCTCCTGAGTTATTTTCTACTCTCTGTAGAATTTTATTCCAACAGCTATGGATGATAAATAGGAAACAAACCCCTAAAAAACAACATGCAGTATGTGCTGCTACTGCTGGAAATTTCCCCAGGTAGATTTTATGATATAAGAAACACAACTTACTGCAGAGACACTGACTTTAATTTTTAATGTATCATCCTAAACCTGAGTCAACTGACCTTGTCAATGAAGGAAGCAAAGCGGTTGTTCAGGGTCTTGAGCTGCTCCTTCTCCTGGGTGCGGCTTGCCTTGATGTTGGGGTCAATCTCCAGGTTCAAGGGGGCCAGAAGTCTCTCATTCACGGTCACTGCTGTGATGGGAACTACTACTCTGTTGGCCAAGCCACCTCCCATACCTTCACCGAAGTCCACATAGTCAAATTCAGCACCACCTCCTCTTGGTCTATACCCACTGACCACCTTATGCACCCTAGTGCCCAGGGGAGCACCACTACTTCCCACTCCCCCATAGGGACCACAGACAGCGTAGCTCTGCCCAGCACCATCCACACCATGGCTTCCATAGCCTGAGAAAGACAGGCTGCTGAAGCCCTGGGCTGGACCCCTAGAGGTTGTCACAGGGGAGTAGGTGGTGGTCTTCATGGCTTTGATAGACATGGTCACAGAGGCAGTCTATAGCACTGAGGTGGTGTGAAAGACAAAACTCTGCTATGGGAAAGA